TTCCACATTATAATTAACTGTATAATTAACTCCAGGATCTCACACTATTAATGCAATAAATTATTATCACTAATCGGCCGATTAATCGGTAATCGGCCATTTTGCTTATCGGTGCATCCTTAGTTAAAACTCTAGAGTTTTAACTAAGCAAAGCAAGAAATTATAATTAATTTTAAGCAAAAACGCGCTAAATCTGGCAACCCTGCTCTCATCTGTTTTGGCATTAGTAACTGCAAGTAACGTTTGTCAGTAGATTTGCTGTATTAAGAGTACCACATTTTGATTTAAAAATTAGTGGAAGTGTACAGTTGACAATCCATTGTTTTAGTTTAGGGGAATGGTAAAAGCTGAATTACAAGGAATTCGGATTAGTGCCACCTTACTGTAATCTGAAGTATGCCAAGATAGAATGCGCCGGACAAATGGAATGGTAGTTCATTTTCGGACTATCACAGACAAATTCTTTGTAAGTCCTTTTTTGTTTACGTCGTTCGATTTCAGGAGTCGCAAGGCCTCGCTTACCATTCCCTAAATAAGGCCACATTTACGCGTAAACGTAGTTTCCGCACCAAACGGGGTGAAGTCCTAACGTTCGACAATTAGCGCAATTAAATTCGGTACTGTTGTTCTTTTTTTGGCAGACGGAAATGAGAAGATTCCTCTTTTTTCTGCTGATTTTGGGAACGTGTCTGGCGGCTGCCGCCCACCCGGGTCCTAGTCGACAGTCGAAGACGGAGGAGGGACCGGGTTCGGACCCCCGTTCGTTTCCAGCATCTTCCATGGCCGCCTCCCCTTCTCCAGAAACTCGGGTGAGTTCCACCTTTTTTCTTTCAGGACGTCAGGAACTTTCGGAGGTGACCACACCTCTTTCGCTTTCCGTGCGACCCGCTCGGTTCCACCGGCGGAATGACGTCACGCTTTACTAGAAGTGGCGACATCGCTCCGGAAAAGAATAAAGAGTCGAATTTTTTTGCAGGAAGATGATGATGATGAGGAGGAGGAGCAACTGGACCGACTTCGTCACCTCCCAAGTAAGTTTGCTTCCGTTTTTTTCTCGTCTTCGGTAGGGGAGGAGATCTGTTGGAGGCGTTATGTTTGAAAATCGAACTAATGTGTTCCTCCTTTTCTTTCAGAGACGGAAACGGATAGGGAGTCACGCCCCGACGCTCCGGACCCCCCTTCCGCCGCCCGCCGTTCTTTAGGTTCCGCTTCCGCTTCCGGTGAGGAAAACGACGAGCTGCCGAAAGAAGAAACGAGAGAATCGAAACCGGTGAGTATCGGAATTCTTCTTCGTTTCTTCTGTCCCGACTTACCCTATTGACGTTTCAGGAGTCGTACCGGAAGTACGCGGGGGTGAAGTTCTCCCCGGCTGACCTGGCCGATTACATCGCCAGAACGGGCGACGAAGAAAGCGTGGCCCTGGCCGTTGAGGAACTGCTCAGGGAAGGAATCGTAAGTAAAGGCGGGAGGGGACCGTGCATGTGACGACCTCTTACGGGGTTCTCCCCTTTTTAATTTATTCGGCAGTTCACCCGAGCTCAAGCCATTTCCTATCTTCAGGAGGTGAAGAACGCACGCGACCGATTTCGACGAGAAAGAAAGGCCCACGTGGCCGGAAGTCGACAGGTAATTTCTCTCTTCCTATAAAATTTTTGGGCTGGTCCGTCGTCTCGCCTGGGTGGGACGACATTCTAGAGGGAGATAGAAACGGGGATGGGCGTGATGCGAGCAAAGGGTCCTAATTCGAAAGCTTTTATTGGCTTTCGAGAGAATTTACGGTGGATGCCATTGGGCAAAATTACGTTTTAGGTGGTGAAGTGCGCGACGCGACTGTCGCTGGCCTTCCTTTAAAGCGATTTTTCGGCCGTCCGTAGGAAACAGGAAAGAACACGGAGGAAAGTCCGAACCCGCCACCCGTCCGTCGGCCAGCGCCGTCGGAGAGGAGCGGAACGGAGTACCGAGTCGATCCCGGGAGAGAGAGGGAGGAAGAGGAAGCGGAATTGGAACGGATTTTAGATAAGATGCGTGCCGCCGCTTCGGCCGAAGAGTACGCTTCGGAAGAGTTGATCTTTCGCCTTTTCAAGGAAGCCCTGGTCCGGAGCCTGCAGAGAGGTGAGCGTCCTCATCTTCCCTCTCCGCCTCGTTTTCTGATCCGCCCTCATCCCCGTGCCTTTTCAGATCCGACGATCGAAGTGTCCCCGGATAAGATCGCCGCCATCTTGGAATCGCGAGCGTCAGACGTCCGCATCTCCGCTGATGCCCGGCGCAAGATATTGGGTGAGTCTTATCACTCCACTCTATTTAAGGCCTGAAATCGGGGGAGAATCGAGAGGCCTACCCGCTTTCTATGCCACATTCACGTTCTTCGAGACGGAAACAAAGAACCCCTTTGTATTTTCTCGTAGGCGCTGCCTCTGCCGCCCTGGTCGACACCCTGAAGGAGCTGTCGGAGGTGCCCCCATCGGTCTATGACCGGGTCCCCTCCGGAGTGGAACGCCAGATCCCAACGGATGGCGGTGAGTGCTCTTCTATGAACTTTAACCTTTCTGTCCATTTTCGGTTGCCTGCCATGTATATAACATGGTAGTGTTGGAATCGTGAAAATTTGATCCCTCGAGTTTTTTTGGAAATCTCCACGTTTTGAGACCTGAACTAAAAAATTATCAAAAAAATCCAGCAATGAGTTGCGTAATTTTCCGGCTTTACGCGATTTTATTGACGAAATAACTTTTATGTTATTAATCGTAATAAATATGTACTTTTGCTTATCCTAGTTGTATTTAAAAAATCGCGGCTTTCCGCGTGCCACACTTTGAATATTTGCCACTGCCGCAAGACCACAGCTTCGATAACCAATAAAACCAGAGTATATACTTGACGTCATAATAGCGGAATTTTCCTGAAGTCCAGAAAGTGTAACCTTCAATGTGATTTGCAAACGTATTTGTAATAGGTTCTTTTGCATAATACGCAGACTCCGTGGCATTGAATGGAGTTGAATTCTATATCTTTGGCATCGAAAATTTGCCAGCAAAATTTTGGTATTTAATTTTCAGTCGCGCTGGCTGAAGATTAAGCGGGCTGACCACGCGGAGTTTTCCGGGTTTTCTCCACGTCTATAACGCCTAAATAAGGGCCAGTTACCCTTAAAAGATCTCCCGGAAGGCATCCCTGTAGGAATATCGCCCAAGTGTTGCGTTGCCGTAACTAAACAAACAAACTGACCAATAAAATTCTAGTAACGATCGACAATGTAAGATGTCGTGCGATTAGAAAAACGAACCGAGCAGAAAGAAATCGCAGTGTGACCACTGTGATTTAGACGATTGAAAACTGGTTTTTACACCAACTTTCCAGTGACGTGTCTAGACTATGGCGACTTTCTCTCTCATATCATTTCGAGGATGGAAATCATTATTTTCTTTCTTCCATCGTCTCCAACGAAATTCAATTACGAATGGATATCGTTCTCGTGTTTTAGATTGTCGTTCTCGTAATGCAATTTCTTGTAATCCATAGTTTTAAATCGTGGTCAAGAAACCTGACCAATCCACTCTAACTTTTTCTCTCTTTTTCAGGGAAGGGAAGAGATTCCTTAGAAAGGAAGTCGTTAACTGGAGGAGGAGGACCGACCGTGTCCTCCTCCCAAGAATAAGAACAACAGACGAACCCGGTCTTCCCCGTTTTTTCCAACGTCTGGCAGTCCATCGAAGAAAAAGAAGTTGGCGGCTCACCCGTATGGTGGCAGATGGCAGATGGAAGGCAGTTCACCCCTTTCAGTGGCAGAGGCCAGAGACTCTTTTCCACTTCTGAGCGGGAAGCACCGCCCAGTTTTCTCTGCTTCACCAAGCAGAAATTGCCCCTCCCGGGCACTGGTCCGGTGATCTCCAACTTGTAGCATTCCTTCTTCTCAGACCAATAAAGATCCATGGAATCCCACCACCTTGTCTTTTCTCCATCTGGGACCACAACCGACCAATCCTAGATTGTCAAATATAACAGGGGGAGCCAATATCGAAAATCCAACTAAAAAATGGATTTTAGAACGTAAAATTTTCCAAATACAGGTAGATTTACAATTATAGCCAAAGTTCTTCACTAGACTTCAATGTTTCTTCTATGTTTACCAATAATTCGGGGCGAATCACGTGTTGCTCAGTGAATGCAACACGTGATTCGTGAATGAGTGTTTCGTGGATTCTAATTGGTTAAATATACTTCATCATACACGTTAATTTGAGCACGTTAGTACATTGCTTGCTCATAGTATGAGCAAGCAATGTACTAACGGCACAAGGCCAATCTGTGACGTCACATCGTCAGCGAGTAAATCGCCTCGTTTACTACCGATCTTCGGCCAGGCTGGTGAACAAGCGAGCAATAATAAGTAACGAACTAAAGCTGTAGTAAACAAGAAGAGTCTTTTAACTTGTCAGTTTTGTAACAACTAAATAGGGGCCAGTTTCCCATAAAAGTCCTCCTGGAAGGCATCTCAGGAGGACTAAAATAGGGGAAACTGGCCCCTATGGGATCGCCCACGTGTCGCGAAATAAACCAAACGTCTCAATGATTATTTCAAAAAGTATTGTACATGTTCACTGTGAAATACAGTATTTGCATAAAGCCATATAACATAATTGCTATAAACATGCAAACATATGTTAAATGCATACGTAATCCTGGTATACATCTTGAACGTGTGGATGACAGAACTGTCACCCTTTTCATCCATACGTTCAGATATGCTGGACAGATACTCCTGTTCATACAACACACAAAGTTTTCTCATTAAAATAAAGATAAATTTTATATTATCATTGTGTTATGTTCTGTTATAAGAACCATCTCACTTAATGACTTCTTTGCAAAGGCAGCCCTATGCAAGATTTATTTTTGAGGACTATGAAAAGAGTGATAGAGATAGAGGGTAGATTTATTTAAGTCTACAATAATATGGACATTTTTAATATAGAAACAGATAGTAGTACATATAATAAAGTAATAAAAATGTGTACAGTAGTTTACAATGTCCTTGAATGTTCTCAACTTCCTTCCCCACCTTTGTATGCAGCCTGAAGACGACGTTCGGCACTGTTCAATGGAAAAGTGAGAGAGTTTGAATAAGTTCTACCTAGCAATGTTGTCGATGCCTCCGGTTCATTATTTTTAAGAGAACTAATGACTGGTAAGATATTTGGCCAAGGAGCAAAAAAGTGCCCGGTGATGGACCAAGCCCTCATTGGGCCTTTTTAACCAAGTGATTCTTCCTCAACCATCCCATCAGTAGACGACAGTCCACCGAGCAGGTTGCTCACAATTCTTCTTTCCATCACCACACAATCTGTTGAAGGTGGAATCAACTGGAAATCCCAAGATCTCACGCTCCTCCTGGATCCGGAACGAGAAAGTTGATTCGTAGGAACCAGTAAAGTACCTGCAGACCAAAACAGTTTTGTCAGACTCTGTTACCTCTTTTATATAAAGTTGAAGTAGAAAGTTTTCCTTGATAACTATTTTTTAAAGACAGGTTAAAGAATCTTTATCAAATTGCATGGGGCCTCCACTAACAGAGAACCCCCAAATAAATCTTTTATAAACTCATCACTATAGTAAGAATACCAAAATTCAAACTTATATATTTTTCTATGTGGAGATTTTTATCATAATTTAACAAATTTAATCCTCCTAAGCTTTTCTTAATACTTAAATTTTATATCCTAGTATAACTGAAAATTATTGGACTTCTAAACATTCTCTCCTGTTCAATTGCCAGAAAAGTCAAACAAGAGCACTTGCCAGTTTTTTTAGCTTTGAAAATATGAGGGATTGGGAAGCTGGGCTTCATTCACACCCAACTCTCACTATTCAAGAGGTGTCAATAGAGGAGCCAAAACTACCTGAATGAGACTTATTTCACTGATTTTTTTTAGAGAAATATATGGGAGAAAAAGTAAAATTTTACTAACTGTGAAAGCCTTTTAAAAGAAATAAACAGACCAGTCAACATTGATGCTATGCCAAAAGTACTCATATAACGGGTAGGAGTTACAACAGTTAGCATTAGGCAGTTAGAAGAGATCAAATACCTGGTATAAACAACTGCCATTCTTTTATAGCACACTCGCAAAGATGTGCTGTACAACACTCTCTTCCAAAACCCAACTGCCGCTCCAACATTCTTGACAAAGGGAATTTCTATTACTTATATCAAAAAAACAGCAACATTCTATCCCATATCTATTTGATGCCATCCATAATTGTTGAAGAATAAAGTTTATTGTTGTTCTCACCTGCTTCTGAAACAGATATTTTCAAAATAGTCTGCTGCAACATGATTGGAGTTCAAAATATAGAAAATTTTATCATAAGATTTAGAAATTCGTTAGTTATGCGGCATAATAAATCCCATTAGTTCGTATGCTGCATTTGCCAGTGATTATCAATTGTTTGATACATGGAGAAGTTTGTTATAAGAATTTCGAACTAAACAATTTCCTATATTCTGTGTATAAGAAATTTGAGTGATATTCCATGTAATTAAAAACATAAAATGCATTTATTTGGTATCATCAAATTTATATTATAGAATTAAAAATCTAATTTTAATGACCATTTAAACTGTTTTATTAAAGATTGGCAATTTTAAATCATCTCAAAATTTTAATTTTAATTTTAAATACACTTGTCTATGATTAAAATCAATTTATTTTACATATAATCTTCTAATCTGTATTATAAATTAATTAGTAATAAATAACTATGAGCCTCGTTGGCCTTATTGTTGTTATAATTGCAGATTAATCACATACCTTTTCGATTTTTAATAAATAAAAATTGAAAAGATGTGCAATTGATCTGTTAATCTGTACTTAAAACAATAAGACCAATGGGGCTCGTAGTTATTTATTTCTGTATATGTAATCTTAAAATAATTAAGAATTTATATTACAAAATTTTATTATAACAAATACCTTGCATGAGAACATATCCACTGATCAATAATTGCTACCCCACCATCTTTGTATCTCTTCAAAATTTCTTTACTTGGCACAAATCTTACCACGGTCGCCACATTTTTAAGATACAACTTCAACTCTTCAAATTCTAAGTGACAAAAATATGTTATTTGATTAGTTTAAATTTAATATATTTAATAAATTTTATCATCCATTTTTAATAAAATTAACTAAACAAAACAGTTTATTATTATTATTATTATTATTATTTGATAAAACTTACAAATGTAGTAAAGCTTCAGTAATGTTTAGGCAACTTTTATTTATTAAATCCCATAATTTGTCAGTTTTCTTAGATGATACACTGTTTTTTTAGCATCATTCTTTCATTACGTACGATAATTCTTAACTTTGAANCTCTGTTATTTTTAATTTAGAGCACTTTCTTTTATCTTTCTATCACTCTTCATTAAATTATATAAATGTTTCTAATTACATATATAAAAAAAATTATATATTGCATCAGAGTACAGTACAATGCTAGGGTTAAGCAGCAGAAAGTGGAAATCCTAGAAACTTTTTATGATTTTAAATTTATTTTAGCAAATATTATTATATAAAAAGACAACTCTAACAGGAAACAGTACTTATTAAACTTCCTATCTTAAAAGACTTATATTTTAAGAAATATGAGACAATATAATCAAATCTTGTACCCTCCTCAGCCACCCTTAAAAGCTCAATGATCTCATCTTATAGATGGGGTTATATGACATGTATTATTTGTTTTATATTGGTTGTGTTCTAGTAACTTTATTCTTTATATATGATCGTAATTAACTTTCATAATATGCAAGTCCCAGCTCAGACAGGAACAAAGAAAAATATGGTTAGTTGACCATTGGTTTCGAAAGAGAGAACTTGTATAGTTTAATCAATTCATCTATTGAATATAATTTTTACAATATAGCTTTAATGTTTCTTTCATTGGCTTAAATTTAATATAGTAATTAATCATAATTAAACTATCCCACTGTCTAGAGAGATATTTAGCAGTCCAAATGCAACCAAATTTGGAATGGTGACATTTCAAGACTCAAAAAGATATTTGCATAAAAAATTTGTAATAAAACTCACTACTATGGCATTTTTGGCACTGCAGGAAACAAACATTTTATTTGTGCGACACTCATGCTATACAGAAATCTTAGCAATGCAACATAGTCCCTAACTTGAAGGAAATGAATAGTGTCTTCAACAACCGATCAAAATTAACCCTCTGTGATGCTTCTAAAGTGCAGTGCCATGCAAAATTAACAAGGCTGGCATATTCACAACGTGTTCTCAATAAACCATAGTTTTTAATGTATCCACAACCAAAATTGCATGGATCTGAAGCAACAAAAGTGCCATGGTGGTGAGTTTGGTACTAATTTTTTTTTTTTTATGGTCTCTGGTATGCTGATCCTATTGTAATATCTTCCACTGAAATACCATGCTAAATTAAATCTCATCTAGATAGCATTAGATAGGGATAAGTTTTGTACTTCAAAACTTATATCTAAATGCCAAATAACTGCCAGATTACATTGGACTATAATAACGCTACTATTTAATAATTAAATATCAAGTAATTTGTCCTAGAGGTAGGTGTTCGGCACCATCTCTCGATAAATTTAATAATAATAATTAAATTAATTACCAAACATTAATAAAGGAAAGAATCATCCCAGAGCAGGACTCAAACCTGCAACTCTCACATACTATAAAAGACATTGCCAGTTACACTATCCATTCTAGGCTAAAATAGTTTATATTTAATTATTAATGGCCTTATTCAAGCCTAATGTAATCCAGCAATCATTCGGCATTAATTAAAAACTGGATTAATACATGGTTATATTTGTATATATATTTGAAATACTGATATTCTATCAAGTTCATACTAACCATAATTTGGTGCATCTGTTGCAACAAACACTTTCAATAGAGAATACTTTTTCAGTATCTTTGTTATCTGTTCCGATGCATATTTAATACTGGGAATCTCCGTCGGTCGACTGCGGACGAAGTCTTGTCTTCTCAAATGAACTGCAATATAAGGACCGCCCATTGCCGATCTACTATTTCTTGCTTTTACTTTCTGCCAGTCATCATCTAATATGGTTTTGTCTGTGTCGTCAGAAGAATTTAAATATTCGCGACGAAATTTATTACCAATTTCTATCAAGGTGGATGCAAATCGCATACTCCTTCTAATCTGTAAACATTACATAAATTGTTTACTTACAAACAACCTTTAAAAAATTCAATTTAAAAAAATATTATTACAGTGTTGGCTTAGCACTAGGCATCAATTTATCAGGTTTAGAGATATTTGTATATAAGTATATATACATATATACACCATGCAGGGGTTGAGCAATGTCATTGCCAGCTGAGTACCATGAGTAGGAGTCTACAGGACAAGGATGCAAAAGGTGCCCTCGTCCTATAAACTCCTACTAGTCCCTTTGTTTCATATATATATGAAACAAAGGGACTATATATACAGCAGGAATGGAATTAATGTGAATTGTTTGAGATCGTATCTATCAGTATATATATACCACGTATACACCACGCCCAAATTCCACTCCTGCTGTGTTTATTCCTCCTTAGGCAACAAACCAGTAGAAAAAAAGGAGAACGGGTATGCAGATAAAGTCATGTGAGAACAAAGAAACTAGTATAGTCTAAATATTTTAACAAAACAGCTTATAACTAAAATAAAATAAAATAAAAAACAAAAAAGGCATATGACTGTAACTGATACATTAAACTTTCTATTTGATTTCTTCAATAAAAGTTTAATAAATATATTTTCAGTGCTGCGAAATGTGCTTATCATTTATCTACAGGTATTTTACAATCCTGTAATTTTAATTTTTATCAATAATATTTTACTCTATATATTTTAGCAATAAATGGATGTTTTGAAAATAGTTTTTAAGATATGATCTCAAACAATTCACATTAATAACCGTGACTTCTAAACTAAAGGTTTTTAAATATTTTTAT